GTTTGAATGCTGAAAGTCCATGAGTAAGGAAGATATTTTCAAAAATGTAAATAAATGTATTTTTATCAAATGATCAACTTAGCCCCACCCTTCCTGGGTCCTATACACTTGACGCAGGGATGAAAGTGATGTTACAATTTAGGTAGAAGGGTTATGCGCTTAGTATATTAATCATTAAAACAGTTTTTCTTCTAAATGTGCATGCAGGAGTTTAGAAGAACATTTTTGCTCTAAGCCTCTCTTTTGAATAGGGGTATACCTGAATGTAATGCTTCACTGGGTGTTCAATAATTTGAACTGCAAAAAAAAAAGTTTCTTTGATAAGGGACTTTGTAAAGATAAATAATACTGAAGTTTGGATTTAGTAAAGTACTAATCACTGTCTTGAACTTATTTTTGTGATAAGGATTGAAACATGACCAATTTTTGTCCAAAATTATTGCCAAAAGATTTCATGTTTAACCAAGCATATACACTGTTCTCGGGATCAAATTTTATGTATATTCATAAAGATTGCTGTTTTACTGTTGCGATATTCTCAAAAGATATTAAGTTTGATGAGTTTAAGTATAATATACAGTAAACAGTGTCCTTTGTAGTGTCCTAACTAGCAAACATTGGATTGGTAACAGTGTAAGGAAGTTATTTCCCGAGTGACCATCCAGAAACCCACCGAGTTTCATACACTTCAGACATCATGGTTTCAAGAAAAATATTTTTCAAGAATTTTCATTCTCCACCCTATATGGAATTTAACTGTTCGCTTGACTGTGTTTTACCCAAAAATTCACAAATCCATGCAGTGTAGGAATTTAGTCAGTAATTTGACAAGCCTAGTTCAAAATAAAGATAAACAGTTTGGTCAAGATGTAAATACATGTACTTTCCAAACGCTGATCCTAAGATTTTGTGTTGGGATGAGGCGCTTTATGATGACGAGGGGTCTGGGGACCGCCAAAGTCCCCACGAGTGCGGGCAGTGTCTCCGCTGAAGGAAACTACGGTATGGGAAACTCCTACGAATCAGCACTAAGAGGAGTTTATTTTGACAAAAACACTGAAATTTTTGTATGATAATGAAAGTTTTAATTTGTGTATGTGTGTGTGTAAGGGTGTGTGTGTGTGTGTGTGTGAGGGGGGAGGGGGGGGGGAACCCTGGCTTAATCCGCACCTGCTTTTTAACAGATACACGTATGTATACTCTTCATATTTTAACATCTTGTATCCATAAACGCCTGTCCAAAATATTTCAGTTTATTCCTTCAAGGATTGAAACATGACATACATGAAGTTCGTGGAATTAAAATTCTGCTCCATTTTGTTTATCCAGACTTCTATACACAATAATGATACTAACTTAGTATCATAAACTCTATATAACTTTTATTTTTCTATCACATGTAAATTAAAAACAAGAAATAAAACATATCAAAACTGAAAACGACTTTATTGCATCAAAAATAAAACCTACCCAACCTGTAAATAAATGTATCACAGCCGTACAATGAAGGGAAGTCATTAAATATCAAACAAAGCGGAAAAAACAGGATAAAGAAAATCACGGCTAAACTGTACAGGGATCGTGTCTACATAAAGATAAATAAAAAGAAATTTACTGACAAACATTGATAATGACTAATTCTTATAATGTTCTACCAGTGTGGTATTAAAATGCTCTGTTATACAACCCGCATTGGATACATACTGTATCTGATAAGGTAATTACAAACAATAGGTCCATAGGCCACAATACTAACCTGAGTCACTTTAGCCCCCCTTCATCAGCAGATTTATTAATATTCCTCTTTAATTTCAAAAATAAAAATCTGACTCCATACTGTGGATCAAAAACTAGCTAGCTATGACTTAATCAAAGTTGAATCCACACAATATTGGGATGCTTCAATATCAATTTGATCAGCATGTCCCTGCTGCTCTGTCAGGAGGAGATTTTTTTTTCCCTGTAAACATGCATTTTGTAAAATTTGAATCTCTGATTTTGGCCCAACCCTAACCTCAGGGCTCATAATTTGAGAAGATAAAATGATTCCACACATCTAAGGTATGTTCTGCTTCCTAATATGATTAGTAAGGTCTTGCCACATGAGAAATAATTTCTACTTATAAACATGTACTCCCTTGTCAAATTCTGATCTCCTATTGAACTTATTCCCGATGGTCGGTGATCTGAACAAACCTGAATCTAAACTACCTGAAGATGCTTCCATATAAATAGGACTAAACATGGCTTTGCTGTTCTTGAGAAGATTTTTTTCCTATAAATCCCATTGTAAAACTTTGAAAACCTATTGTGGGCCCACTCTACACCTGGAGGTCATGATTTGAACAATCTGAAACTACTCTTTGAAATGAAGCTTTCACCTTTCATTTTTTCTGGCCCAGTGGTTCTTGACAAGAACATTTTTAAATGATGCCATTAGATTTTTACTAATTCTTTATTACCCCCCCCCCCTCCTGAAAGTAAATTATCTCCCCTTGAAAGAGGATGTTGCCCTTCATTTGAACAAACTGGAATCCCCTTCACCCAAGGATGCTTTGTGGCAAATTTGGTTGAAATCGGCCTTCAGTGGGTTTTTTGAGAAGTTTTACAGGTGGACACCAGACAAAATGTGATCAGAAAAGCTCACTTGACCCTTCAGCTCAAGTGATCTAAAAATTGACCAAGTACAATTGCTTCATGAATTAATAAAAATAAAAAGAAGTATGCTCATAGACAGGGTTATTTTTGCTCCATATTATCTTTGCTCCATTTTAAATTCACTCAGACACATTTGTGATAAAGGGATAAAACTATATCTTCTTTAAATTTGCCCAGCTTTAAATATGCCTATCTGCGACAAGTGTGAAAATAAAATGGAGGTGAAAATTTCCCTGCATACAGTTATGGAAAATATGCAAATTCATACATTTACAACTGAAAAAATGAATATAAAAAACAAATATATAATAAAAGAACTTATGGCATGTGTTTGCACCGTGTTATAAGTCTGGGGTCTTTTGAGCTTAAGGTTCATTGATACTCAGATAAGAGAGATAACTCTTAATTACATGTCTATTATTCCTTTATAAATCTGTCTTTGTGGTCCAATTTTGCCACACAAGCTATACTATAATTGTTTGTATTTTACTCATAAAATACATTTCTTTTAGAAAATCATAAATGTTAAAACAACATTTTCTATGAGTGAATAGAGGGTTTATGAACTTTCAAGCAGAAAGAGGTCAGCTGTCACAGTTTGCGTGAAAATGATGAAGCAGGAAAGTAAAATGAACACAAACTGAACACAAAATGCATACAACATCACAGAACATTGATGTCAGCTTTTTTTATCATTACTTTGGTAAAAATGTATGATATTAATATTATATTTTACTGACACAATAAATAAAAATGACAACAAAATGATATAACAATATTCGTAATCCCTGTACAGTTTTCCGAACAACTATTAATCCCTCTTTTGTTTACATTTTTTGTTTTAATTTGTAGTTGAAGGTTAAACAATATTATCCATTTAAAAATCTCCCATTCTTTTTGGAGAAGATACATATGATGTTTACTAGGAATACTAAAAGATTCAAAATCAAGAAAGGACATCACATTAAATATTCTGAAAGCAACATTTCTTCTGCCTTAGCAATAACATCTTTCCAGAGCAGAGTAAATTTGTATATTGCCTCTAATGGACTGTGAACAAATACACATTTTCATTGGCAACCACCCCTTGTACCCAGCATCAATCCTTCATAAATTAATTACACTTTGACCTAGATTCATAGATGTTGAAATTTGATACTTAATTTAAGATATCATTAAAATTCACTAATCTAATTAACAAATTAGAAATAATCAGTAACATGTGACACACAGATACTTCTTGCAGGTTTAACAATGACAAGTGATTTAAATTTATTTGAAAATTTTCAATTAATTTTTTTCACATTAGTACATTGTACAACAAGGGAAGGCTGGGCATACAAAAGGACGGAATAAAATAAATGTATTCAAAAAATAAATCTATTATCACAGTTGGGGAAAATACATGTATATCATAAATACCAACAAAATGGAGAAAAATAGATTTATCTGTACACAACAATATAAAATCTAGATGTGACCCGACATTGAAACCAAAATGAAGATACAATTTTATACCTCCATAGTGATGATCATGAATAAATCCAGAAGTCTCCAATTTAAATGCAAACTACAGACATTTTTGGGGAATACACTCTATAAAGTAAAATACCACTTGCAGCACAATTTGAGATTAATTCATACTGATTCCAACTGATTTCATGAAATTTAATTAGCACATACATTATTTTTACTTTGCTCAGTCATGATTTTATGAGAAAATTTCAAATTTATATCCTTGTATAAAGAAATTCATACATGCATTATAAATGAAGTACTCCTGACTGTTCCATATACAATTTAAATTTTAAAAACATAATCAAAACTTACTATAATACTGAAGAATGAAGGCAGATGCAATATCTTTTTTATGAAAGACTGCACACAATAAGGCATTAAGACTGTGTGATCAAAATAACAAATAAGATGTTTAAAAAATATGACAAGATTCTAATCTTTAAAAAAATCTCCATTCTGCAAATATTCCGTGAATTCATAGTCAACTTATTTTCTACATTAAATCCCTTAAAATTTGATATCAATTCAGCATTGTCAGAACTTATTAAAATTCCTCCTATTCTTTAGATAACTGATATCAATTGTTTATAGGCAAAAAATTTTTAATGACTGAGAATGTGCAACACACATCAAATGAACATAGATTGATGGTAAAATAGTTTCAATGTAAAATCATACAACAAAAATAAATCAAAAATATCAACAAAATCTTCATACATCATCACTAATTAATGCCACTTTATTAGTTTAGATTTTAAATTAATATTGCTTATCATAATACTTGTATGACAGAAAATGATACGTTATGTACATGATTCCTCCAATCTATATGAAGTGATTACTGAGCTTTAAAACCTGTGTTATAGGACAAGAGAAGCATCTCCCTTGTGAACAGAACTAAGGGCTCTTAAAGTTTATGCACAGAGAAATTTTACAGGAATGTACCAAAATAGTCCTGTTGACTTATTCAATTTTTTTGAAGAGTGGGGATCTGCCTTTTCCTCACTTTTAGGTTGATACATGTATTGACAACATTTCAGAGTAGGTATGACTATCTCAATAAATAATAAATTTGTAAACTTAACAATGGGTTATTTTTGTCCATGTCCTCTGAAATCACCACTTTATGACTAAGGGCCTTTCCTAATGTTCTGTTTCGCTTGCCCCAGGGCTATCTGCTTAGCATTCGATCCAAAATTCAATGTGCTAACTGTCTCCGAGAAGTTATTAACATCAGGGCTGACATTCACAAACAAACAAGCCTGAAATGAAACAATTCTCAAAAATAAATCTTATTTCCAAGAGGATTACAGTTCAATCGCACTAAGCCATGGCCATTTACACCGACACTTTCATGCTACAGTGATATACAGGTTAATGGTTTGTTACATGTAAGTAAAAATTTGGAAACCCAAGTTTCTGATTCGGTGCAGCAAAAATACCTATTACTGTAAACATGGATATTTTCATGGAGTAAACTGTGTGATTTTCATGTAACAAAGCAATCTTTGGGGTGGGTGGGGGGTTATTTTGCAGAAGATATAGAAATCACAAAATGTGTTGGTTGGTTGCTTTCTCCCTCATCTTTTACAAAAGCATTGATGTGGTGATAAATTTTGCAAAACTTGACTCATTGAAAACTCACATAAATTTCCATCCACAAAACTTTTCTATGTTTAGATAATTACTTACCTTTGCATCCCCTCCTAGAGATGGTTGTAATATCTGAGTCAGTTTGGAGTTTCTGTACGGTATATGTAGCTGACTGGTTCTTAAGGCTGTGAACACCTGTACATAAAAATCAAGTATTACAGAAAAAAGTTCTTAGTATATACCTGTACCTTGAAACAATGGTGATAAACTTTGATAAATGAATATGAAAATGTTATAGAAAAAAATCTTTTCTAAAAGACAAGATACTTCAAGAACATGTAAAGACATATGCACAGAATAAGTCAATTTTTCAAATCCTATGCAAGGATTTCTTACCTGGCCAAGGGCTGACAGTGACTTGTTGATGGCGGCAGCCTCCACTAACCTCTGACCTTCAGCCTCAGTTTTCGAGATGCGCTCTGACCCTGCTAAGTCACACAGAGTCAGTGTACCTTTAGTTATTGCACCTGTGACCTTGTCTTGACCTTCAACACTCAGCATCAGCAGTAGATGAGAGCGAGAACTGTAAAACGAAAACAATGCTAAAATTTGTGTACAATGAAATGATGTAACAATTATCATCTAAAACTATTAAAATTCTTTATAAATCAGTGAAACATGCTTATAATGAAATGCCAGGGTCGGATGATTTTACTTTGTTATATATAGTAATTCGTTATATTCATTAAGTTTACCATATATTTCAGAGCTATAGGGAATGAAAACCAATCCTGTACATGATTCAATGCATTTTGCACTTTTTAAAATATCCAACTACTGTTCCGAAATGTGACAACTGATATATAAATTTTTAAAAATTATTTCTAACCTGGTTGAGTTCATTTTGGTGGATGCCACCGTCCGGTTTTTATCTCCCTGAGCCATGGTTTTCTTGATATCATCGAGATTCTTGATCTCGACCTCCTTAAGGTTTGGAATGGACACCTTATTCCCTGCAGTCCTGAGTTCCAGTGACTTGGCATCTGAGGTGAGCAGGTCCTGTATCGTCTCATTATATATCTCAATCAGTGAGACCTAGATAAAATGAAGGACTCAGTGAGACAGGTTTTGATGAATAAAGTATAAAGCTCTTAATTTTTTCTTCTACCTTTTCTTACCTTTAATGTATAAGTAACTGTGTCTACTCTCTCTTTACAAACATCAAACAGCTCCTTCATAGCTCTGCAAAAGAGAGATATTGTGATAAGCTACAAGAGTAAGTAGATATGCATTTACACCGCTGAACTTTGGAGAAAGTTAATGCTGCTTCCTGACTAAAAAGACATCAAAAATATAACTGTAGAGATTGAATAATACAGCTGATTGCAAATAGAAATACATTGGTATACAGTAAAACTCGTTTAGTATGAACACCAATATGCTGATTTTCCCAGCAAAATTCTCACCAATTTCTCCCAAAATTTTATGATAATGAACTATATAATGAATTTACGGAATATATTAAATTGATTTTGTGCCCCATAAAGGTTAAAAATTATGAAATTTACATCTTTTAAAATGAATTTATTATGACCTCAATATTAAAAATCTTGGACTGATATTTATTTTTCATATTTTATCTAAATTTTGATTCATCTGAAAACCATTAGTTAGTTCTTCAAGTAAGTTTTGTATTTAATACTTCTCTGAACATATTCCTAGAGCATTCTATTGGGATCCATTGATTTATCTGACTGACCTGATGTTTATTCCTGGGTTGTTCTCCGGTCCCATCATGGTAAACGTTTTACCGGATCCTGTCTGTCCGTAAGCCATCAAACAGACATTGTAACCATCTACACAGGACGAAATAATGGCTTTAGTGTCACTAAAGATCTGAAAGACAAAATGAAAGTAAAAGTAGAAATCTGGGAAAGCAAATGATTAATAGAAAGCAACAATTCACGTTTCACTCTCTACCATCGGCTCATACATTCACCTCTGTCGTTGGCTCGCATATATCACAGTGATAACCACGAGAATTAGTGCGTTTGTTTTAATTCATTATAATTAAATGTCTGAGCTAATGATAGTCCTTAAAGATAGATATTTACTAAATAAATATAAAACACTTAGTTTAATATGAAATAATCTTTGAAATGTTATGTTTTTTACGTTACGTCAAAAATCTTAATGCGAGCCCATTGCAGAGGTGTCTGACAGAGGAACGAACGACAACTCTGCATAGGAGATTGTTCACGTTTTAAGAGAATCTGAATTCACATCTCCCAAGAGATGGTACTAAAATAACAAATCTTCCAAATATGACTTTTTTCAAAAGTTGCCAAAAAAAATCTGTAATTTAGACTTTCTGTAATTAGAGTTTGTGCTTTCAACCCCTCCCCCCTCACATTCCACAAACCTGTTCCTGTGTGGAATTTGGATCATACACCTTGTCAAAAGAAAACATTTTTTTCTGCCCACTGTTGTCCATCGCTACAATGTCTGAGTCTGTGGGGAATTTCAAACAACAGCTCACTCTGTCATCTCGTCTGGCACGGCAGAAAACGCGAATGTTACCCCTCAGTTCTTGTAGCTGTAAAGGACAATAAATAAACACTTGAACATAAAAGAAAGTTCACAGTTACATTTCATGCTAACAAAAAGGAAATATGTTCAATATTTTTTCCTTCAACATTAAGTGATGAAACAATTTGGCTACAAATCTGTTCAAAATGTATAATCTATGTATTTTCAATTTTTTTGCAAATCACTAAAATGTAGAAAGTTATAAGTGCCTTCAATTACACAAATATTTGTGATACAGTCTACACTTAGAGAAATATACTGATGACTTAGCAGAATAATTTGACAGAAACATTCAAAAATTTCCCATAACTACAATTCATTGTCACCTATACTGTTTATAATTAACTTAATAAAACAAGGGCACCACAAAATGGAGCATCCCCAACAGAGCATATTGATCCCAATAAAAATTATTACTTGCGTAACATCCATTATGACCTCACTCACCCCCCCCCTCAACCCACAAGTGCAACATGTACAATATCCCCTCCAACTTAGCTGTGAGGAAATACAGTCAATCCCCGTTATCTCGATCTTGAAAGGACCGAGAAAATACTTCAAGATAACTGAGGATTCAAGACATCCAGGGTAAAATACTTAAGGAATAAGTAGTTTGGACTTCAAAATGACTTCGACATATCCATGGTATTCGAGATATCCATGTTCGAGATACCCAAGTTCAACTGTATATAACAAGTTTGACCTACTGACCTGATTATACAGCAGCTTTCTCTGCATGGCCTCTTTTCTATAGAGAGCCCGAATTTCCTCCATTTCCTCCATACTTCCACTGCTGGTTGATTTAATATTCTTCACACCGTCTTTGGCCTATACAAAGTACAAACATTAGCAGGAACCATAATCAAAGTAAGATAAAGACTAAGGATGTTTTGTTTACACGTACCTTGGCAATCTGGCCTCTCAGGACATCAAAGTACCGCTGGACCTCCATTTTGAGGTGAACCTGTGCCTTTCGGAGCTCCTTGGCAGTGTTGTTAAGTAGCACAATGTCCTCTGGATTTACTGTCTCCTCCTTCACAACCTGAGTTACCACCTACAGAGAAACCTTAAATTATGTTTCCCTTTAACTGACAGGCAATATTAAAATTCACTTGCACCTGGGGTAAATAACACTTCCCTTATATATACATGTATAAGTAATTTTTACTTGGACAATTTTTCATCTAAAAATCATGCTGAGCATTAAGCTAAGAAGCTGTAGAAGTCTTTTTAACATACCTGTGGTGTTTTAGGCCGTTGCATGGCTGTCTTGGGTTGATTTTGTTGTAGAGACGTTAACTGTGTACTATTTGACATACCTGTGGTGTTTTTGGTTGTTGCATGGCTGTCTTGGGTCGGTTTTGTTGTAGGGACATTAGTTGTATATTATTTGACATACCTGTGGTGTTTTTGGTCATTGCATGGCTGTCTTGGGTCGGTTTTATTGTAGGGACATTAGCTGAGTACAATTTGACTTACCTGAGGTGTTTTAGGTTGTTGCATGGCTGTCTTGGGTCAGTTTTGTTATAGGGACATTAGTTGTACATTATTTGACATACCTGTGGTGTTTTTGGTCGTTGCATGGCTGTCTTGGGTCGGTTTTGTTGTAGGGACATTAGTTGTGCCTCGTGTTGTTTGTTTTCTACTTCTAACTCTGTAATCTTCTCCTCCTGATCTTTGACCTGGGGTGGAAATTTTGTGAATCAATTTAAATTTATGTAATTCTATAAACTTAAATGTAGATACAATTACATGTACACCTCATTAAAATTATAATCCAAGTATTATCTACTTAGGTTTGTCAACAATTTTTAACGTTACCTCAAAAGTTAATGAACTACATATAACGGCATAAATAAAAAGGATATCACAAACAAAGTAAATAAAAAATTGTTTCCCAATCTTTTCAAGCACATACCACTTTTTCAGCCTCTACTCGAGCTATTTTTTCTTGTTTTAGTGACTCCTCCTACAAGCCAAAAATTTCAGAATGTCACAGAATTATCTCCTCTTGCATTACCACACATTAACAAAAAGTTAATGTTTTCATTTGATTTAAATGAAACGAAAATATAATGTTGTACTACCAACACAAGCTATATACATATGAAGCAAATAATGTGAACAATATTTGATGAAAATATCAAAGAAAATTTTATAATTTTAGAAAATATGTTACCTCCTTTAAAATTAGTGATAGGTACATTTCTTAAAATTCATATCATGTTAATTTACATCAATAAAATAAGAACTGGAACAGAAAGTGAACCTAATTCAGTTACTTTGTTTAACAAGAGCAGATTAATTAAGAATAGACTTACAGCTTCCTTTAACTGCTGTCGGAGTTGTTCTATCGTCTCATCTTTTTCCTCGGCTGCTTTCGCCTCTTTGTGAGTTTTAGGGGCTTTCAGCCATGCTGTAATGATAATATAAACATTGATATTAAGAACGCAATATTTGTATCAGTCTGGTCACAGTTATCCAAATGTTGCACAAGATGTATACAAGCACAGATTCAAAATGATGCAACCTTTATGTAGTGAAGGGACTGTATTCATTTCTTCTTAACATGCATATTCTATTATTTTCATTACATTAACCTACTTGTTGTTATATCTTGATTTATTTTACTTACGATCCCCTTCCAGATGTAGATATGTAGACATGCATTCATCAGGGTCATAGTTACACTGCCTGAGTAGAGCAAGGATATCTTGCCTGTCCCCCCAGGTTGGGAGAGCTTCCTCAACTTGGTCCACTAGTTTTCCCACCATTTCATGATGAAGTTCCCATCCGATTGGTAGCCGCATCCACTGACCTTGAGTGTGGTCATAGAAACAGTGGATGTTGTGTTTTCTCTGGAAAATACCATTGACATATGATAAATCAGGCACAGATGTCCCGCAAGTTTAAATTTAAATTGAAAAAAAACTTTCCTTTTTAATCAACGTAATCTTTGAGAAAGTTCTTACACACTAATACAAAATGGTGTATTATTCTTCATGATAATTTGTAAATATTTTTCATCCAAAAATGATACTTCATGTGGATGGAACTCTATCACATAAGAATCCTATTTAGAACATACTTGGAATATGTAGGTGGGAATGCGGCCCCTTTTGGGGTGATTAAGCACCCCCTCCCTGTCGTCTTGACCACTGGACGATTGTTGTTGATATCCCGGCTGTTGTTGACGACTCCCTGAGGCTCCGGCTCCAGACAACTGTTGTTGTTGTTGTTGTTGCTGACGACGTCTATTCTCCTGATGACAAAACAACAAAGTTTAACAAGGGTACCTTAAAACGGAGCACCACCACGAAAAAGAGCACATTATTATGCACGCACTCACTCACCCACACACTCACAAGTCCATATCTGTATTCCCTCCAAATATTTTTGTGAGGGAATAACAAAGCAAATTCTCACACACATCTGTTTTATAGATGCCTTATATGTTTAATTTAGAGTCACTATACTTTGCAAATAAGAAATATGCTCTCTTGGTTTTTCCATAGTGTAGACAATAGCATAATCATCAGGGTTACACAAAAAAGGTAGTGGTGATCAAATACACATTCTTTGAAATATTTTTTAGGCACAAAAGTTAACCTTGATTTAAAAAATCTTACATTTTCTTGGTCTTTGACGACTGAGTTAGTGATGAGTAAACCTTCATTGTACCATCTCTTAGGAAACGGTTGCCACTCCTAGAAATAAAAAAATTAGTACATGTACCTACATAAATACATACTCAGGGGACAGTGTCAGTTATTGTATAAATAATGATGAACAACTAACTAGCAATTTAAACACAAGAGTTCATGGAACCATTAAACACTCAACTGAGTCAAAATTTAACATTCTTAGAATTGAACATGTAGAATAAAGGAAACAAATAAATTCTAATGTTTAGCTTACAGGTAGTTAAATCTCACAGTATTAACAGATAATATATATTGCGGCTTAACATTAATTTTACAAATTTTAAATCCATTTTTCTTAATGACATCATTTATTCATATGAACATTTTCAAACCCTTAATTTGGCCCCATCTTGACTCTATGGGGCCATCGCATGAATTTGCATGTACTGGGGTACTTACAACAAATGGTTACAAAATAAAATGAGAAACAAGTTTTCTTGTTCTTTAGAATAATGATGAAGATTAAAATCAAAGAATTTTTCCTGTTATTTCCTTATTGTTAGTAATACATGTATAATTATACATACACAAATAATCATTAAGAGAATAAGAAAGATTCTAGTTCTTTGAAATCAGACCTGCTTCCTGAGACAAAAAAAAAAGAAAAAAAATGAAAGTTTACATGAGACATACATACAGACCTAGTATATACCGGTACTTACAGACACCTATACACCAGACAGATTTTGATCAGAAAAGCTCACTTTGCCTATGGTTTAGATGAAGTAGCAAAATTCTTTTAAATTTTGAAGAAAAAAAACCCACATTGATATGATACTCAAAATATACAGAATTGCTGTCAAAAACAGTACTGTACCATATTATTACTTAATGGAAAAATGGCACATATTGATGAACATTCAAATAAAGTGTGTTCTCCATTGCTGATTAAAAAAAATTACCTTTGAACCCCAGTCATCTAGGTAAAATCTCATTCCATCCAGGTACATACATTGAAATTCCTTCCCGCTCTTGTGGTAAAATGTCTCAAAGATTATGTCTTCACGTCCCTATGAAAAATAAACAATAATGTATTACTGGCCATAAATTGATGTCCTGTTAATATAATTACCTATATCATCAAATGACCTTGACCTACAGATTTATCTCATTAAATGAAATGTTCCTTTATTTTAATCATCATAATTAAATATACATAACAGTAAAATCTGGAGGAATGCAGTAACAGATATCAATATAGTAGCTAGAAGTCAATATAATATCATATACACCTGCTAAGACAAAGTCAGTTTTTGGTTATACCAAGATATTAAGTTAAAAATAATGCAAAATCTATACATGTATTGAATAATTATACAATGTAGCAAATTCAGCTTATAGCAAAGTTTCCCTGTTCATTTATGGAAATTCACTAAAAATTTACATGTGCATTTTACCAGTTTCTGGCCAAATTAAAATTTAAAATCAGTTGCATGCTTCATAAATACAGGCAGATATGTAAAAAAAAAAAAAAAAAATCTTTTTCATTTGTTAATGAAAATCCAACAGTGATATATGTGTATTTAAATGAACTTAAAGCATGAATCTGTGGTTCATAAAATTTACCAGTACTTGTATTATAAGCATAAAAAGCAAATTTATAAGGTCCTTTAAATCTGAAATATAAGAATCAGTCATTAACATAATCCATTATGTCACAGTGTATTACAAGTCATAAAAAAGACGCCGAGTCAAGTTCCTGAACTTGAACGAGACCAGGATGTTTACAATACTTTTTTGTTGGTAAGATTTTTATGATATCGTCTTCAAATACAGGAGTCATATATCTCATTTTATACCTGTTGCTTTAACATCTGGTTACCAATAAATTTGTGTTTCTTGAGGAATTTTAAAATGATTATGTATGTTGCAATTACAAAAAAGTAAATTTTAACTATCTCTCATTTATTCTTGTTCTCTGCAATTAAAAAAAAAAAGATCGGAAATTTTCATTCTGTAGTTTTATCCCATCATGCTTCAGAAGCATCTTTCAATTAAAAAAATGCATTGATTCAAATGAATTTCATAACATCAAAGCCTGCAATGTGAAAGAAACCCCTGGAATAATCTTAGAAAAAAATAGAATGAAATCGATGATCAAGAAATTGACTTCTTTGATTTTTTTTTCATACTCTCCACACAGAATTCAGTCACCCGTGAAGGCTTCCAATGATCTCTGCCGCATTGAGTATGATGGTATGGATTTTATGAAACTTTCAAAAGGCTCCCAGTTGCCGAGAGTGTATTATAAATGCTGGAGTGTTAATGACTAAATCAATGAAAATCAATACTAGACATTGGAAAGACCACCTAGCAGGTGAAAAAAATATTAATCATAAACACAGCATACATTTATCTATAATATCAAGTAGGAAATATTTGGATAAAACCACGGAAAGGTGAGAGGCAGGGGTTAAGATGGATAATCAATATCTCAGGTGTTTGATTTACTCGTCCGAACAGTGAACTTGCTTACAGGGATGGCAATATTTTCCTGGGTAGAAAAAAGCAACAGAAAACTTAAGCCTTGGAGCATGAATTCACACATTAAAACATTTAAATTGAGCCTACAATTTAAAGTTTGAAGACATTCATTTGTTCTTCACTAATTAATCATATGAATTAGAAGCATATTATAATAATAGTACTGGAGACATTTGATAGAACTTAGAGTCCTTGAGCTTAATGGACTTACAAACCTAACACAAACTTAAGTCTCTAAGCTAACTGGACTTGGGAGTTCAAGTACAGACTTACTTGACTTAGAGATCAAGTCCCTGAGCTAACTATACTAACACAGACTTCTCCCCAAGGTCAGAAGAATTTTGGAGAAAAAAATGCTGAAAGCACTTTAGCTACTTAACATTAAAGATATTACCAAGCCTCACTTCCCTGAGCTTATATACATAGAGGTCTTAGCAAAACTACCAGTTCCAATCTTGGGCTACTTTCATAGATTTATGGTCCTTAGTAAACTTATTAGAATCTAACAGACTTACAATCCATGACCTTAAAAAACTTACAGCTAAGAGCAAACCAAACTTGGGCTTCTATCATAGATCTACAGCCCTTAGGCTTATTAGAATCCGACATGACTTACAGACAAAAGCTCACCAAACTTTTTATCATAGATCTACAGTCCCTTATCATATTATAATCTAACAGAGGCTTACAGTCCCTGAGCTCTGCTGAGCAGCCGTGTTTCCAAAACCAGATGCAGCCTCCATTCTAGTTTGACCCTGCTGACCTCTCTGTCCTGACCTCTGATTGGATGCTTCTTGTCCCTGATTCTCCTGTACAGCTGAGTTATCCCCCCTTCTAGTGACACTCTGGTCTGGTTCCCCTCTTTGCTTGGTTCCCTTTATCTGTTGATCTGAGCTCCTTCCTGCTTCTCTCTGGCCTAAGTTTTGACCTGATCTTACACTCGTTGATCCCTGGTTTGAACTCTGACCTCCTTGGCTAGTCACCTGATTTGGATTACTACGAGTCGATCCTGTTGCCTCTTTTCCCCTGTCTGATTCTTCTTTAGTTTTTGGTGGAGGTTTGGAAGCTCCAGAACCCATGTTTTATCCTAAAATCTGACCTTTCAATCATAGTCCCAGATTTATATCAAGAATTGAGAGAAGTACCAGTAGATTATTAAAATAACACAGGCACTTAGGTCCGATTTCCAAAGCAATCCACAAGAGAAGAAGATTATAAATTCTCTCCAATTAATCTTGATTTTATAAGGAATTTCCTTGTTTAATTCAAAGAAAAAATGTAGATTCTCCGTTTATTTGTCCAGACAGGTGAATGTCTGTATACTGTATAAAAGTATGGATTGCTCAATTCCTTATGAGGCATTTAAACCATTCTTATAAACAGGGGAGAAATACGGTTGTTATATACACCCAGCCTTTAGAAATCACTGTTCTGCATCAAAACCATTTAATTCGAACCTTAAAATGCAATAGCATGCAAAACGATGAAATTTTCATGAATAAAAGACAAACAAAATATTGCAATATATAAAGTAATGTGTTAAAAACGCATATTCAGCAGTATATTCTTAAGTTTTCATTGAAATTGTTGTTGAATAAAAACGCATTTGGATTTGGATCAAAAGATGCAGATTTGCAATTTAGAATGAGTTCTTTTCTGTTGTTTTCATGTGTGTAGGTATTTCAGTGACAGCAGTTCAGAGTTCACATGTAATCTTTTAAACATTCATATGACTTAATATGTACCTAACAAAATTTGAACTTGGTAGTTCTTTATTGTTTTAAAAACCATAGCCAAGTCTTTTTAAATGGCCATTGTATTTTAGATCTAGGTCAAATAAATTGATCATTAATCCCCCCAAAAGTGTTACACAGCCATGTCGATATTGAACTGGGGACTCGCGCGCGAGAGAACATCATGATTAGGGGTTTATTGTCGTGTATTTTAGGTTTATTTGTAGAATTGTTGCCAGGTTTTTACATCGACTGAGACATGAGGTCATTGTGCAATTTATATATGTACAATATCAAGTTCATATTTTAATCAAAGCCATACACTTATAATCAATACACATTACTGGTATACTATTTGTATGTGACAGTAAAAATATGAGCTTTAATACGAAAAAAAAAAAAATCATGCATGTACACTGCATAAACAATTCACAAAATGAAACTTGTCTTTTGCATCAATTTAATACAAAATATATCTTTTAATTAAAACACTGTATTATAATTCGATTTATGAAATATTTAAAGGTACAATTGTACATTAAAAACTTGATGGGTGAAAACAAAAAAACAAAGAGAGAAGCATATAGAAACAAAGAAAAGGGCCTTGTGTTGTATGTTTCTGACAGCATCTGGTCTAGAGAAGAGGATAGGATTTTCTTACAATAAAATGAACAGATTTATTATCATGGTTTTTGACAGAACATTAAGATGAATTATGTTTTGAAATGTTTACAAACTAAATCAGACATTATAATATAAATACACTGCTTATATTGCAGGGTCTCACTGAATAACCAGAGAGTGATTATACATGTCACATCACAGGCGCTCATGGGATCAGCAGTGACCTAAACAAAGAGGCATTATATCACAAGGACTCATGGGATCAGCAGTGATTATATTACAGGAACTAAACAAAGAGGCAATATATCACAGGGACTCATGGGATTATATTACAGGAACTACACAAAGAGGCAATATATCACAGGGACTCATGGGATCAGCAGTGATTACATTACAGGAACTAAACAAAGAGGCAATATATCACAGGAACTCATGGGATCAGCAGAGATTATATTACAGGAACTAAACAAAGAAGCATTCAATCCAGGGACTCATGGGATCAGGAGTAATTACATAACAGGAACTAAACAAAGAGGCATTATATCACAGGGACTCATGGGATCAGCAGTGATTATATAACAGGAACTAAACAAAGAGGCATTATATCACAGGGACTCATGGGATCAGCAGTGATTATATTACAGGAACTCAACAAAGAGGCATTATATCACAGGGACTCATGGGATCAGCAGTGATTATATTACAGGAACTAAACAAAGAGGTGATATATCACAGGTACTCATGGGATCAGCAGTAGTTATATTACAGGGACTAAACAAAGAGGTGATATATCACAGGGACTCATGGGATCAGCAGTGGTTATTATTACAGGAACTAAACAAGGAGGCATTAAATCACAGGAGCTCATGGGATCAGCAGTAATTATATTACAGGAACTAAACAAAGAGGCATTATATCACAGGGACTCATGGGGTCAGCAGTGATTATACATGTATTAAAGGAGCTAAACAAAGAGGCAATATATATCACAGGGACTCATGGGATCAGCACTGATTATATTACAGGAATTAAACAAAGAGGCATTAAATCACAGGGACTCATGGGATAAGCAGCGATTATATTACAGGTAAATACAGGAACTAAACAAAGAGGCAATATATCACAGGGACTCATGGGATTATATTACAGGAACTACACAAAGAGGCAATATATCACAGGGACTCATGGGATCAGCAGTAATTATACTATAGGAACTAAACAAAAAGTGATCATATCACATGGACTCTTGGGATCAACAAAGAGTGATTATATTACAAGAACTCATGGAATCAACAAAGAGTGATTATATTATTAAAACTCATGGGATAAAAAAAGAGGGATTATATTACACGAACTCATTGGATCAACATGGATTTTATAGGAACTCATGGGATCAGCAGTAATTATATTACTGGAGCTAAACAAAAAGTGATCATATGACAGGAACTCATGGGATCAACAAAGAGGGATTATATCACAGGGACTCATGGGATCAACATGGATTATATTGCAGGAGCTCTTGGGATCAACAAAGATAATATTACAGGAACTCTTGGGATCAACAAAGAGTGTTTATAATACAGGGACTCATTGGATTGACAGAGAGTGTGTATATTACAGGGACTCATGGATAAATAGGGATATATTACAGGATATTACAGGAACTAATTGATGAAGAAAGATGGATTATATTACAGGGACTCATGGGATCACCAAAGAGTGATAATTTAACAAGGATTTATGGGATTACTAGAGTGATTACATTACAGGGACTCATGGGCTCAAGAAAGAGGGATTACATTTCAGGGACTCATGGAATCACCAAAGAGTGATAATTTAACATGGAATTATTGGATAAACAGAGTGTTTATATTACAGGGATTCATGGGATCATCAAAGAGTGATTGTATTTCAGGGACTCATAACAGAGTGATAATATTAGGACTCTTGTGACCAACATATTATATTTCAGGGACTCAATTACATAGGATCTCTAACAAAACTGTAGTTTTGCTGTACTAAAACTGTAGTTTTAGTTTTACTTTAGTTAACCATTATAATCTACTATAAGTAACTATAGTAATTAATACTCCAATATTTTGATTTCCTATTAAACTTCACTTTTGAACTTTTTTGAGATTTAAGATATCAATATTTCTTTAATTACATAGATGTACCAATAATGTAAATTTTAGAAATATGTGAATAAAGAAGTAATATTTCCTTTTAATTCATAGTAAAAATACTTTGATTTACTATAGTAAAAGTTTTGATTTACTAATAATAAAAACTTTGATACTATAATAAATTTTAGTTATTAACTACAGTTTAATATTTTAGTATTCTTTTGTTAGGGATCAACAAAGAGGGATAATATTAAATGGACTCATGGGATCAAAAATGATTATATAACAGGGACTCATGGGATCAACAATGATTATATAACAGGGACTCATGGGATCAAAAATGATTATATAACAGGGACTCATCAATCATATTAACAAATGTGTTTGTGTTTATTTTTATAAGGGGGGGGGGGGGCTCTTGGGATCAACAAAGAGTGATTATATTACAGGGGCCTAAATGAGATTAACCAAGTGTGATAACATTTCAGGGGCTTATTGGATCTGAAAAGGGATTGTGCAGTAGATACTCATGACTAGTGAATCTGGGATGAACTTAGAGGGATTCATGGAATTAACAGAATGATTATATTACAGTGACTAATGGGATCAACAATTAGTGATTATGACATAGACAGTATAGATTTATGGGATTTTATTACAGGGAGTCACAGGATCAATGGAGAGTGTTTATATTACAGGGACTCAAAGGATCATAGGATCAGCAGTCAGTTATTTTAACATGGCATAGATTTAAGAGATGTTGGTACACTGGCTCATGGGATCAAGAAAGGGGGATTATATTACAGGGACTCATGGGATCAGCAATGAGTAATTATAACATGGCATAGATTTATGGGATTTTTTACAGGGACTAGCAGGATCAGCAAAAAGGGATTATATTAATCATGCTACACATCATGCAAACATAGTTGAGAAAGTGTCAGGTCAAAATTCAAGTCCAAAAATTGTAGCATGCAAAAAAACTGAAATGTGAGTACAAACATGAAACTCTCTGGGATTACCAAAAAGCACACAATGGTAAACACGGTATAAAACAACAAAGCGGCTCACCGTTTCCTCGGAGGCAGCAGGCTGGGAGGACTAGAAAAATCAAGGGTTTGTTGAAAGCAGAGGTATCAAAACTACAGGGTGTAAAAGACTATATACTAAAATCCGTACAGTCTAGCTTATTTAGTTCTCAAAATAAAATTTTTACTTTTAATATAATTTCTCCAATTTCCCTTTTTTTTTTTACTTACTTGTTATCAAATAATTAATTTTAAAAAATGATAAAGAAATTTTAAAAATTCATTTATAATATTCTTTCTTTTAAAGAGTCTTATTGTCATTTATTTTTCTTTGAAAAAAAAATGTTGATATATAAAAGCATACATAAACATTTGTCATCTTCATATCTATGGACCATGTTAAAGCTCAATGCTTCAAATAATGCCTAAATATACTACAAGCACAACTGATAAACTACAAAATATTATCCAAAAAGCAGTTATGCATTTTGTAAAAATTGAACTAAGTCTAATTCTACATCTACATTTAATATTACTGATATAAAGATATGCTTAAAATTAGCAAACCAATCTATCCTCTACTTTCAAATTCTACTGCATA